AGGCCTCTTTGCTATATCATATTCTTTGGTGGGAGTGCCGATGAAGCAAACGTATATTTGCTATAGCAATGGACGACGCTCAACTCATATCATTGTGGAAAAATTCTACTACCAGTCCTTCATCACCTTGGACGAAATAGGGTAAATACATCACAATAACACTTGACTGCAGTAATCCTACCTGCCTCGTATTACCAAACTTTGCTTACTTGATAAGGCATTCTATATTTTCATAGATATGAAGTAAGGGTGGGTTTTAAAGAATCTCCTGAAAGATTGATTTTAACAACCTTTCATTTCAGTTGAAAATGTGAGTGGAAGGGATTCGTGAATTAACTGCATCTGAAGCCTTGCAGTCATAACCATAGATTTGAATAAATGAGTCGGCAACAAACTGTCCTGGAGCCCTGAAGAATCCGTGCTAGCTTCCGTCTGTCCTACCGTGAAAGACATCGCCATAGGTGGATACCATGCTTTACGAAACTTCACAGAGTATTAGGACAAATCCTGCCCAAGAATTAGGGCCCTGTCAATTTTGGTAAAGCATAGTTTCCTGCTCTGACGATGTCTTGCAATGTGGGAGAGACAAAAGCTAAAAGCAGATTTTTTGGGTGAAGTGAAATTGGCCTGGACGACATGTAAATTTGACGCGATCGTGACCGAACAACAGTTTCCTCACCATTATCACGGCATTATTGATGTATACAAATTGCTTTGTTTGCAGGTGTGTGCCCCAACCGGTTTCGAAACCAATTAAGCCTCCTCCACTAGTTCCCTATCCCTTTCTTCCTCTATTCTCCCCTTTGCTTCTCCCACATTCAATCCAATATCCCGCACTCTAGTCTTTTTTCAGGATGTTAGCTATTTTGTTTATCTTGATAGCTGTAAAATGTTCAAAGTTCGCCAAACGTTATGCTTTTAAACATTTTTTCTAGTGTCCTGTGTTCGGCTGATTCTTATTTGCAGAGCCATAAACCTTCGCAAGAAGAGGGTGGAAGAGGCTTGCTTAGCCTCGAATATGGTTGGGGGTCCTAAACAAATACGCACACACACGTCAACATTGCAGGATCAAAAATGCGAGTGCACACGTAATCCGAAGAAATATCACTTGCTTGTTGGCTTTCGGGGGAAGCACGAAATGACCAACCAAATCATAGGACATGAGATATAATCACACTTATACGTTTTCTCACAATTTTATAAATATGAATTAGATTTCACATAGTACTGCTTCCCAAAAGGTATTCTCATCCTGGCTGGGATGGATTGCAGTTTTGACCCCGTCAAAGTGTCATCAGCACGCCCAACGGGACTCAAACCAAGGTTGTGGTAATGCAGTATATAATCTCGACACCATAACCACAACATCAAACACCCACGAGTGTCTTTAGGTCACAGGGGAGATTTGAATTACAAGGAAGGTCAGGATTGTTCCCATATCATGTTACTTTATGGGATTGTCGATGAAGAAAAGTTGTATTTGCTATAGCAATAGAACACATTACTTGTTTTTCGTTTATAAGTCGAGATTACAGTCCACTCTGGATGAGAATATCTTGTGGGAAGCAAGGCTATGTGAAATTATACGGAAACATAAGTCCTATTCATATGGTTGTGGGAAAATTCAACTACCAATCCTTCATCCCTTTAAATGAAATAGGGTAAATACATCTCATATATATGATCTACGGATAGTCAATAAAGCCTACTTATAAACAAAAAAAATGATAAATTTTTCTTAATTATTCGATAGATAGCTTCATCATACAAATTCACTCGAAATTGAAGTAGGCTCAACAAGTTTAGACCAAGAGATTCCCTAAAACCGAGCTTTTATTTCTATAATAAAACTTAGATAAGTAGCCATGGGTACTTAAAATCGTTCTCGCAAGGATGTCGGAAATTGTGTACATCATCATCAGCAGCAGCAGCATTATAATTATCAAGAAGGCATGTTAAATGGCATCCTGGCTCAACTCACCTTGAAAACCCTCCATGGAGGTGTAGACAACAGAGCAGATTCTTTCCTGAGCCGTCATGGTATGTCTCTTGCCATCCGACATGGCGTCGGCTAACTCGCCTGGGGAATATTGCATTTCCTCGGCTACCTCTGCTGGGACACAAATCATCGCTTTTGAAGAACTTCGCATCTGGCTCTCGAGGCCATACTCTTGCAGCCATTGCGGGTCTCTCGGAGAGTCGTCCGCACACGAGGCATCAGGTCTTTTGAGCGATGAAGTATTTGGCAAGCTCTTCAACTCAGACGTCTCTCCAGTGTTCGGAAGTAGATCTTAATTGAAAAGGAAGACATGAAAGCCTATCAAGACAGATATAACGCAAAATTGGGTTTTCAATACTTCTTCAGTGCTTTCATGTGCTTGTCCTTGCATTTTATTCGAAAAGTTAACTGGGCATAATTCGTAAATTAGCCTCGCCAGACTGCAAATGTTGTTGCAGATTTGAGCTTCTCGCCTTTCTGACACATCCGTCATGACAGACAACAAGAATTCTCACTCTGATGGTGCCTGTCGTGGTAAGGCATTCGGAAGCTTAGCTTGAATGGATCGGGGTAGGCAAGATCTTCGCTGAATTCAACACTAACAACTTCACTAATTCCGGAAATTACGGATCCTAATGACTAGCAAGACAAATTTTTCGTATTTACTGAGTGTTTCTTAACTGTCAGTTAGTATTGAATAATAAATTAGTCAGCCCAGGTCACGTAAAATGATTTAAGGACTGATAGTGGATTTTTCCCAATTATTTTAGTAGGCCTAACGTTGCCATTGAATGACATTTGGCCTGGCCTCCAAAAAGTGTCGTGGATGAGGCTAAAAACGACAAGGCTAACCGCAATTAAATGGCGTTGTTAAATATGCTCGTAGGATTGTGGAAAATAAATACCACCATCAGTCTCACAATTACCTTCAGCGACCTAGGATGACTGGTCCTTATACAAATTTATCATGTCATGACAGCGACGTGTCTGTCTACCTTCTGTCTTTCTTATGCCATTCCGTTTGCTTCGCTTTGGATAGAAGGTATGGAAGATGGAAAGTCCAAGAAGAACAATCAAAGTGAGGACGATAATTGTCAGTCCAAGTCCGAGTAGCAAAGTTGTATTGCCGCCAAGAGGAGCTGCATGGCTAGCGGCCTGTGGTGGTTTGTGAGGTTTCGGCTGGAGTTGCCGTCGCCCTCCGAGCATGGTTGAGAGCAGAGGACCGGCGGAGTTGATGGATGATACAGATTGATTAGCTGAATGGTTACAGGAATATGAAGGCAGAGAAATGGAGAGCAAAAGCAGTTTAATTAATTTCCTAATAAGTGTTGCATCATCTGATTTGTTGCGCCCCCAATGACTTTGCCAGATGAATATAAGAAAGATGTATAATCGGCCCTCT